GGAAGAGATGGAGGAGATGGAGGAGATAGAGGAGATAGAGGAGATAGAGGAGGAGCATGTCACTGCTGAGAGAAGGCTGGCGGACATTACAACGGCCCAAGCGTCTCTGCCATGCTCAGAGCGGCAGGTCGCGAGAGGATTAAATCAGGGTACTCTCCCAACCCCCAGGTTTGACTGAACCAGTACCCACCGTATTGACCTAGATCCTTATTATTTCGATTTGGAAGGGGTGGATAGACAGCATGGGGTGGACAGACAGTACTTGAAATCGGGTGGGTGGGTGGGTGGGTGGGTGGCCGTGGGTGGGTTGGAGACCCTATAAGGGGTACTTGAGTGGGAATCGTGAGGGGTACTTCGGTGACATAAACGAGGCATAGCGTGTTCTGGCTATCCCAAGAGTCGTCGAGGAGGAAATGGGGGGTGGGGTAAGTGAGGGCTGCATGGAGAACCGGTCATTGTCCTGACTGCAAAGGGGGTAGGGAAGTGACCACTGATGAGTGGAGACGGCGCAGGTTTGGATCAAGGAGGCTTTGATTGACTGAGGGGTACTCCATATGATGGGGTAGGGGTCATGCGTATATTGTCTGGGGTACCGGGTAGGTGTGGGGTACGAAATCTTCAGCCTGGCGTCTCCATCTGAAGAAATGTACCTCGCAAGGACCGGTCTCTTCTACGTCCTAGAACCCTTTGAATTTCAGAGGGGTAGAGGGTACTACCTAGGACCCTGCACGGTCTCCGAGCGGTTGGCCCATAGATACGGTACCACTTTCGGGTTGAAGCCTCGGAGGGCGCTTGGGGGGGGGGGGGGTCCGGGGGGTCACTGGTAGGGTGGTGACTGGGCCGCCCTCCGCCGTTACTAGGCTTTGCCAGTTGAGTAAACCGTGCCTGGTACAGAGTGGTGCATCCGATCGGATCGGGGCCGCTAAATCTTTACTCAAAGTTAAGTTAAACACTACTGAGTAGGCCCCGGGCCTAATACCGTGCCGGCCGCCGCGCCGCCTTGCCGGCGGGCCTCTGCCAGGAGTGGCGCAACTTGTGACTTAGGCAAATGGTGCCGCGCGGCTTTGCGCAAGTTGGCCCTGCGTCAAGTCAGCAACTTCCGGCGGGCGGGGCGACTCGGCCGAAAGTTTCCGAATCGAGTCGACGTCGCCGGCCGCCCGGCCGCGCGCCCTCCGAGTCACTGAACGGTCGAGTACTGCGGTCCGGCCGCCCCCGCGGCGGCCTCTTCCGAGCGCCGTTACACTTCCGTAGTTCAGACTCAGCCACTGTCGGCGGCAGGCTACTGTCTGTACGTTTACCGTTCAACTTGGCAACGGTTGAAAACGGTTGTAGTGAAATCAGTCACTGTGATAGTACTGTATCATGATCGCCGCCCGGAACTGTCGACGGTGAGATTTGTACGCCAGGAAACTTAATACTGACAGTAGCGTACCGGACACACCTACTGAGTCCGCCGCGGATACGGTCATAAAGCGGCGGCCTTCACTCAGTGAAGTTAACACAGTGTAATCGGACCGTACGGCGGGGGCAGTCACTCGGAGGAGTCCGGCTCGGAACTTGTCACCGAATGCCGGGCGAACCCCGAGGCTCGACGCCGGCACTCTGCGGCGCGGCCCGGCCACTCCGAGGCTCACTGCCCTGGCGGCCACCGTGACCCGGAGTGACGGTGGCAGCGGCGGCGGTCCGGCCGCGGCGCGTCTGCCGGGCCGGGCCCGTGATGAGTCACTGACTTTGAGTAAAGGCCGGAGTACGGTACCGTACTACACTGACAGGCTGAGCCTCGGAGGCCGCGGCGAGTCAGTGACAGTGACCGCCGGGGTGTCCCGGGCCTGACCCGGGCACTGCGGCAGTACTACGGTACACTTGAGTAAACACCGTGACATCGCCTTTTCCAGTGACCGTGAGTCAGCCGGAACTTGAAACAGAGCAAAAGATGCGCCTACAGGATATGCGGTAATGCAACAAACATGCGAACGACGCGAATGGTCGAGGGACTTGGGGAGGATGAATGGTGTGCGAGTAGATGCAGAATCAGAGTTGTGAATCTCGCTAGAACATGGAGCAAGTAGTGGAGAAAGGCACAGCACAATGGAGATTTAGAGCATCGAGGTTTGGATACAATTTGGGCCATAGCTCGAACGATTCAAACTCAGAATGCAACGGGAGGGAGGCAGGGAGGCAGGGAGCGAGGGAGGGAGAGAGGGAGGGAAACTGGAGTATATTTGATGCACTTCCATGTTCGTTGACCGGTCGCATACATCATGGTTGTAACTTTGCTTTGTCCTTAAGTTGTGTATTTTATCTGCTCCTCACCTCTGCCTTGTGGAATGCATGGAGCGTGCATTGCACAGTCACGGGAGATATTCGAGTCAACCCTCAACTAAGAACTACCGCCAAGAAAGATGATTTCGGTCTCGTTGCATGCTCATGTTCAAAGGTTGTCTCACTATTGGTGGTGCAGCATTGTGCAAGCTCAAAAAAGCTGGGATGCACTTTGAAGTCATCTGCCATCCAGGCATGATTCTCAAGGTATCTCGTTAGCCTGCCAGCTGCTGTTGATGCGCTGAGACCTGCTGTTGATGCTCTTAGTTCCGAGAAGGACTTGTCTCAGACGTCATGGACGTGGTTGTGTCCAGTGACATCTTTAAGGTGTCCACTGGGGCGGGAGGAACCTAACGAGATTCTAAGATTTCCTGTCAGGACGCGAAGACAAGGATGCATCGAAGTCATGTGGACATCGTGAGTGCCTTCGGGAAGGAGTAGGAGACTCCGTTCCTCACCCTCTTGGAGTGACATGACGGCTGCAGGGACATTACATCTTGTATCAAAGAGATCTTGATGGAAGGAGAGTATCAGGTTGCAAGGAGGGAGGAAAGGAGAGCCGGAGACTAATCGTCTGACAGCACACTGCTGAGGAGAGGAAGCGACAGATGGAGGAGAAGATGGAGGAAGTTGCCGCCTTCATCTGCCAGTGAGAAGCGTCCCTCTGCAGTCAACCTGCTCTGATTGTCTTCACCCTCTCTTCCTTCTTCCTCTCCTTTCAGAAACTTTGTCGAAACTCCATCGCATCGTGCGTACAGCATGGAAGAGATGATGGTAATTTGTTCTTGATCTGTTCCTCTCGCCCTCCCCCTCCACGCTCATGCGTCTTTTACAGGAGATTTTAGAGAGTCATCCTAACTTGAAGTTCAACCCGATGAGGTTTGCAGCGGCACGTCCAACTTGGTTTGACAAGCTGCAGGTCAACCGAGTATCAAGCGATGGAAGTTGTGAAGCAGCTGCAGGAGGACGTTCCTATCGTCCCCTCCTACAAGTCCGTCGCATGCACAGAGAAATTCAAAGATTTTTGTCACGCGTATGTAGAGGATTGTAAGTGAATGAATTGGGACGAGGGAGTGAATAGACGGTTAGAGACGGTTAGAGACGAGGATGTAATGGTTTGCATGAGTGTGCGCGGTGACTGCTCGAGAAGAACAAGAGCAGAGAAGTCAACAGAGAGGAAGAAGAAGAGCAGAGAAGTCAACAGAGAGGAAGAAGAAGAGCAGAGGAAGAGACATGAAAGACAAACGAGAGGGCGGGCAGGGGCATAAAAAGCGAGGAGAAGTTCTCAGGATTTTCATACGAAAATTCATCAAGACATTACGAACTGCTTGCTCCTTTCCATGTGGAGTATCTCAACGTTAAGGGCCGTTACTTACTTTTCTGCTCTCCGCTCGACTCCGACCACTTGCAGCCAATGCCAGTCAGCGACAAAGAGAGGAGGATGGAGAAAGTAGAGAGAGGGGAGGGAAGGAAAGCGAGCTGGTGAGAGCTACCGAGGGAACAAGCTGGTCCTTGAGAAACGCTTCGCCAAAGAACACAGAGTCTCCGAAGAAGTTAATCTCTATCCATATGTCATCAACAGCCTCCTCCGCACTCTTTCCTCACTCTTATCATTCTTCTCCGGTAGATCCGGTGACGACGGGGAGGCCTCTACAACTCGAAGAGAGGAGGAAGGGGAGGAAGGTGGGGAAGAGCGGGGGGGAGATGATTTCGCTATTGCAGCCGTCTGCCGTAGTTGCTTCACTTGCAATTCTTGGCGACAGGTTTCAAGTCACCGTATAGGAAAGAAAATCAGCTGCTGTAGCTCCGTCCTGTTTGTCTTCATCGTCAATTTAACATTCCCGACCCGGCCCCTTCCTTCCCATCATTCAAGTTTTCATATTCCATCGGGTTCGCTCGTCCTCCCTGTCTCACCTTCTCAGCTATCAGGACGTCTCCTCGCGAATCTCGTTGGATCCCTCAAGGGGCATCAGAAATTAGAAGGACAAGAAGCAGGACAAGAAGCAGGACAAGAAGCAGGACAAGAAGCAGGACAAGAAGCAGGACAAGAGGCAGGGGCAGGGGCAGGGGCAGGGGCAGGGGCAGGACGAAGTTGGTTATCTTACTCATCGTCTCATCCAAAAACACCTAAAATAAAAAACTTGGTCAAGGTCCAACTCAACCTCCGCCTCGATCACCTGCTGGCCCCAGCCTTGACCCACAGGAGGGAGAGGAACATTGAACTAGCGAGATGAAGGTGACGAAAGGAGGAGAACAATGCCAGAAATCTCACTGAGTTCCACTTGAGGCTACAAGATTGAAACTTGAAAGCAAACTTGTCGCCATCTAACAAATGTATCAACGAAGTTTAAAAGATGCAGAAGGGACATGCAAAAGAAAGAAAGGACGTGAAGAGATTAACTCGAAGGACAGAGGTGGGAAGGGGAGGAAAAGGAAAACGCGAAGAACAAGAGGGGGAGGAAGATACCTGGCATAAAGCTCGATCCAACTCTGATGTTTGATGAAAGTCAATACACCAGTGCAATCAAATCACTTTCTCTTACTTGAGCATTCCTTTCCCCATCTGCATGGAATGCGTCACTCTTTTCGAATACAATCTTGATCTGTACCTCGAAATCGATTATGTTGGTCAAGCTGGCTTCTTGCAAGTTGATGTCTTGCCATACGCCTGTGCCTGGTGGGAGCGTCAGATTGTTCTTGTTCTCAACCGTCCTATCTCTCGCCATCTCCTCTTTCGTCTGTGTGCCACTCACATTGAAGTCCAAACAACCCTTTCTCAACGAGGAAGAGAATTTCCTTCTCTGTCGTCCACAGCATGTTCCATCGACCTTGCATGAAGAGGCTGTACATTCTTCAGCTCTGTGAGTCACTTCACCCAGTCCACCTCTCAGCAGGCTTCTCGATGCTGAACTTCGACTCGAGCTCTTCCTGCACGTGTAGACATCAGCAAAGAACATCGGGCAGCGACTGACTTGCCATGATCTCTTGCATTCTCTGCGAGTCTTCAGTTGTCAGCTCGCTCAGCCCCTTCCTTGCTCTCTGGCAGATTGCTCTCAGCTCAGCCTTCAGCTCCTCCTTCCCTGCGAGCGAGTCAGCTTTTCTTCTCAGCCTCCTCCTAAGCAATCACGAGAAACTTTCACGGGCAGCTGTTTCTCGGGCACGCTTGCGAAGTTGCCAAGGAGGGCAGAGAAGGATTTCTGAAGGTCGAAGGGGTTCACAGCGTAGCAAGCAGCTTTTCTGCTGCTCCTTCCTTTCAAGACGTTCGAATATGAAGACGAAGCAAACGACTCGACCGTGGCGACGTACAGGTGAAGGAGGAAGAAGACGTACTAAAAACAGAATCATTGCTTCGATTGTAGCTTTCCACTCTTTCACGCTATCCCCCATCCAAGAGTGCCCATCTGTCCCTCGCCTCCCTACCCTCTCTCCTCTCCCTGCGTCTCACCTCGCCGTCCCTACCTTCTCCCTTCGCCTCCTTCGCCTCGCCTGCCTTCCCCATCCCTATCCCTCTCATCTTCCCTTCCCCATCCCATCCCATCCCTCGCTTCCCTCTCCCCTCCCCTCCCCATCCCTCGCTTCCCTCTCCCCTCCCCTTCCCTTCCCTCCTTATCCCTCTCTTCCCCTTCCCTACCCTCTTTCTCTCCCCGTCCCTCCATGCTCCATTTCCCCGCACTTGTTCGTGTACCTTCTTCGCCATAGCTTGTATGTCTCCGACTGAGGCGGGCTTGGTGTAGGCAGAGACATGAATGATACAACAAGGCAGGAACATGAGCTGGAGCAGGTTCAGCTGCAGGAGGAGCAGGAGGAGAGTACAAGTCAAAAGAGCATTGTGAAGTCAAGAGAGCGTTAGGAGATCATTCTTGTACAAAACAATTTTGTTGAAGAAACACGGCCTGCTTACGAAAATGAGGAATTCAAGAGTTTAATTGTTTTCATCGTTGACGGTGTACGCTTGCAATGTTGCTAGTGCATGAAGCTGCTATGAAATTCTCATCGTCTCTGACTGAAAGCTCTACGCAGAAGACTGTTGAGATTTCATATGTCGGAGGCCTTCCATCCTTCTGTCAAGCGAGATGGTAGAGGACTGAGAGTTTGGAAGACACCAGAATTTCAGTCACACAAACCAAATTTGCGTGAGTGGAGCAAGACAGAGTCGCACTACTGACAAGGGTGACTGAACAGATGGTTCGGCATTGCAAGTCAGAAGCCATACGGCCAAGAAGGGCAGCGAGATCTGTAAAATCGGTCACACACATTAGAAAGACAGACAATAATTGTTGAGTCTGTTGGTTGCAGAGATTGAGCCAAGGCAGCGAAGCGACTGCGGTGATGGTCGACAGAGATACATGCAACCAGCATTCGGTGCTCGAGCACGAGATGCGATGGATTGGAGAAACATGAAAGTCGCAGAGCCGGCACCAAGAAACCTCGAAGTCCGCAAACTTTCATCAACTTGTCTCGTCCTGATGTGTAGCAAGCTAGGCCCCGCCATGGCTCAAATGCAGTTACGACCATCCCTTCTACGTGCGCAATGTCGGGAAGCCTGTTCTACAAAAGAGGTGTCTCATGGTGGGAGCGTGAGGGGTCGCAAGGTGACCTGCGCAAGGCCATGGCCATCCAACAAGGTCATCTACGGGGCTGTGCGAGAGTGGAATGGGAACCCCAACGCTCCTGATCGAGTGGAGAAAGGTGAGCAATACAAGAGGCTGGGGGTGTGTGATCTGGCGTATGCAGCTGCTCGTCCCGCCTACGGAGGGCAGTGCGATCTCTGCGTCGAAGACTCCATAGGAAGAGTGGGCCATGTGCGAGCAGCGCCGCGCAAGGTTGATGATGCAGGCAAGTGCCTCGTGCTGAGATTGTGGGCATAGGAAGCGCACATACTACAACCTCCATGGCACAAACCAGCTGAGAAAGATCCGTAATTTCCTCATGTCCCATTTCAACCGTATCAAACTTTCTTGCCAGGGTTGCCGTTTCCCCGAACGACAAAGGCAGAAGGAAAGGAAGAGCTGAGAAAACTCATGACGTTCTTGCTCAATAACATGCCGGCCGCTTGTTCTCTTGAAGGATGAATGATCAGCTTGAGCAGAACCTGATATTGATATGATCTGAGTCACGACACCAAAAAAAAAAAAAAATTGAAAGCTGCATTGTTCTTCAGTTAGGATTGCAGTAAGTTGGCAAGTGCGTTGAGTTTAAATAGCTCCTGTCTTCCTCTGCACCCGCTCCTTTATTACGACTAGAGCTTGGTGATTAGTCTATCCATCCTCATTCATTTAACAAATCCTTCAAGAAAACAACTGACGCCATCGCAGTTCAGTTACTGCTGCGAAAAGTTCTTAGGCCGGAGAGTGCTGGAGGTACCAGAGGGTAGAATGCATTTTCTTCCCAGTGATCTGCCAGACAAATAAGTCACGACAAGTTTCTCCATGCTGACTCCATGGCGTAATCAGTCTTGATTCGCTCATTTTACAGATTTCAACATGCAAGTTTGAATTTCTTCTCAGTTTTCCATCATGTGAAACACAACAAGCCATGGTACACAGGCGCACAACACAGTTCACAATTCAAGGCAGATGTTCTGCAATGTGGGACGAAAGAATCAAGAGGACGTGAGGTAAAAGAGCAGCGTGAGGATGAAGGATGATGGAGGTCGATAGCGATGGTTGACTGACCGGGTCAGGGACCCCCGACAGGAGGACGACAGGCTTCGGTGCAGCAGCAACAGAGGGCTTGAGAGAGAACATGGCGGTAAAGCTAGGGCAGGCGGTGATTCAGACAAGCACAAAGCTAGGGGTGGGTAGTTGAAGAAGACTGGATTTGGTACTGAGTAGAGCACACAATGTCTGAATTGTTTTTAAGCGATTTCCCGAATTTATTTCCCGCCATGCTTAGTTATGCACGCATATTTCAATTATATTTTGAAAATTAATCTATAGTAACGAAATATTAAACATGAGTTTACAAATTTAATAACAAATTTCATAATCTTATCACCCCACAGCAATACATTCATCTTTAATCTTTTGCGAAGGGTCATCTACTTCCGTTGGATGGGTAGGTGGTAACTTGAAGAGGGATTGGTAACTTGAAGAGACAACCAACAAGGATAGCCTGATCCCGCCGCGGGTGATCGTACCGGGCCGGGCCGCTCCGCCGGCTTGCGGGCCGCCGCGGCTCCGACTGGCGGCCGGGCGGCGTGACTGCCAGTCGCGGGCCGTCCTCCGCAAGGTTGGACTCGCCGATGAACTCGTGAGCAGTACTGGCACAGTCAGGCCGAGTTTCCACAAAGTTTATTGAAGTTACAGGGTGAAAAAACTTGAACACAAATCAATTTTCGCCGCAGTGTGTTCATCAGCGGCGGAATCTCTCCGAGATCATTTGTGCAGTTCGATCCCGTTTGCCGTTTGTATCGCAACTAACAGCCCGGTGACGGGCAGGCCAGCTGGACGGTGTCCAGGTGGCCTCGCCACTCAAAACTTTGAAGAAATTCCTGTTTTGGTTCCCACAAACGAAAGCTCCTGTCCGACCAGACAGCTTACTTGCAGAGTGATGTTTACTTCTTCTTCTTTTCGGGCTCGGGCATCTTCATCTCAGTCAAGGCTGGAGGGCCCTCTTTCAGGTTGGTATACTGCAAACAAATCAGCGGAGGCAATTTGATCGCATCCTACTCCACACACCTGAACATCCGAATTGAGGACGCGTTCCAGGAATCGCTCCAAGGAGCTCTGAGACAATGCAGTATCATCCTTAGCAAATCGAGTTCTCTTGCCAGTACGAAGAACAGCAACCTAAAAAGAATAATGAATAGAAGTATGAGATCATCGTATTTTCCAACCTTGGCCCCATCAGTGGCCTCAATGTCCAGAGCTTTTACAAAAGCGCTCTCGCGATCCGAGTTGATCCACATGAAGGCGAGTTTCACTTTCTCTCCAGAATGCTTGCTTTTTGTCGCCATCACAATGTCATAAACATTCTTGTCGAGCTTTCCATCTGCAGTTGCTTTGCTTGACACAATCACACACCAGGCATCGGCTCCGTAGCAAACGTCCTGAGCAGATAGAGAGGTAAGCTCAGGAATAGCCTCTGCAAGCCAAGGTTTCTTGAGAGCAAGCTCCTCATCAGCTGCATTGTTCTCCAGGGCAAAAGTTTCCTGATATTTGTTCAAGAATTCGAAAATCTCCCTCACTTCAAACTTGTCATCATACTTGATAGGTTTCTTCTGGCCAGGTTTGACAACAAGGATGGTGGGGAACTTAGAAACTTTGTATCTGCTCACAACTCCCTTCTCGTCCTTGTTCACAATGCCGAGAGTCATCTTGCCCTTGAGATCCACGCTCAATCCTCTCCACATGAGGGGAGTCTTGGGTTTGTCGGTGAACAAGAGGGCCTTGAACTTGCCAGCCTCCTTGTTGAGGAATGCATCAATGTTGTCAGCTGTGATCTTTTCAACAAAGTGGGTCATAAACTTCAATGCCCATGTGTACACAGCCTTGTCGTTTCTCTCTCCTGTGTACTCCGTGACACCAAACCCTCCAGGCGGGATCACTTTCAATGTAGGGAACGAAGTAACTGAATATTCATCGCAAATCTTCTTCTGCTTGCCGCAATTGATGGCAGTAACCTTGATAATTCCACGAAGCTGTTTTGCGAGGCTGCAATAGTCCTTAGTGAAAGATTTCGCGTTGGCAGCGTCATCCTTGTAGAACTCGATGAGCTTGACATGATTCATCGAGTCGGGCTTCTTGATGTGAGTGTGAAAGTTGAGATTGTTCAGCTCCTCAACCAGGCATTCCTTGTCCTTGCCTTCTCTCCCGTACAGATCGGCAGAAGCCGGCATTGCTGCCGCAAGCAGCGCCGCCGCCAGGAGCAGATGAGTCGATCTCGCAGCCATGACGCCTACCCTACCCAGACCCACGTGCGTTAAGTGGGGTTCGACAGACCCTTACACCCCTGAATCTACTATGCAAAAGACGGGTGCTCTTTCACTTAAACCCCGGACCCCTTCAGTTCCCTCGAACAGTTACAAGTGTGGAGGTAGCCCTGCAAGGCTCTCTGATTTATTAAGTGAGCTACTAGTAATAAGGACACATCCTTCAAGATCAGGATTCACAGCTGAGGCTCCCGACACTCCATCATGGGTGACGTCATAAAATAACGGTGATAACGGTCTTCTCGATCTTCTAGGACTGTGATTTTACCCTCATAAGTTCACTCAAAGTTAAGTTAAAAATAAGTACGAAGGCCGCCGGGCCTGAGCGACCCGGCCCGGTGAGTCACTGCCCGTGTGACATCCGCCGGACCGCCCCGGCGCGGCCGCCCGGGTTCAGAGGCCGACCGTCACAGAGTCACCGGTCACGGGGTGACGGTCCAAGCCGACTCCGGCGGCCCGGGTGGCGAGGTCTGATCACTGAGAATCAGAAACTAAAAGCTGTGATTGCCGAACTTCGGAACTTCGGACTGAGTGCAATGCGACAATCATGGCAGTTTCTGGACGAGCAGAGAAGCATACTGATATCGAATGTTGCCCGGCCTGATTCGCTCCCAAAGCATAGTCACCAATCAGGTTGCTAAACTTCAGGCGGCAAGCCTCCAAAGTTCCGATTCAACTTGGCAATGCACGCCGGTGTAGCGAAGTGGCACAACTTGATGATCAGGGAGGTTTATCAGGATGCCATGGCAAAGGACGGTACTAAACTGAAGAAGGGAAGATCTTGAACCCTCGGATGATCATCGTAATAGACTCCCGGGGCGGTCCGAGCCGCTCGGCCCGCGTTTCACGGTCACCGGGTGATCGGCCCCCGACTGTCCGATCCGGGACTCCGACGCCGTGGAGCCTCGGAGTCCAGTGAATGCGGCCCGGTAGCCCGGCCGCCGCGCACTGCACAGTGAGTCCGCTTGTCCGATCTCACAGAGACGGTGAGTCACCGGGGCGGCCCGCGGCCAGGCCGGGCGGCCGGCGCGCCGTTCCCGGAAAGTCACCGTGGCGGCGTGACTCACGACGATCGGACGGTGCAGGCTGATGAGCCTCCGCCTGACAAACTTGAAACTTGGCAACCGAAGTAATTGCCAAGCCTCGCGGCAGTGATTGTGATTAGTGAGGGTTGGCACGCTATATAACGAGCATTGTTACATCAACGGTACAGTAATCGAACTGATCACTTCGAGGCTAGTCTGCAGAGGCAAACAAACTCTGAAAGTCGCTGTGTCAACAATGAAGCAGGATGTTGATTAACCAACAGGAGCTGAACAGATCTGAGGCATCCTCGTCTCCCGGCAAGGTGCATATTTTACAAGGTTTTTGTCATCTTGCATATGATCTTCGGTGGTAACGTATCGAGGACAATAAAGAAGATTTCAGACGAAGCCTCACGAGGTAGCCACACGCATCGCCCACGATCGTGAGGAAGGAGCATTTCTCACAGGATTGGCCTGCTTGCGATTGTTGGACTGCAAAAATGTTAAGTTACTGCAAAAGCAGCGGCTGCTGCACCTTAGGCTGGGGATGCGGGGAGAAGTCAGCGGAGATGGGAGGGAAGGACTTGAAGTCGATCTTCTGCAGCCCAGCAAACTCATAGAGCTTGCGCTTCCACATGCGGAGGTATCTAGAAGCTCTAATCAGTCTCATCCAGTTGCCAAAGTGAGGACATCACCCATCATATCTCCTCTTGCCACAGATCAGCGTGAGCTCGAGTACTCCTTCCTCCGTGATGTATGGGAGCCCGATGATGTCCTGGAGCTGACGCCCAGAGAAACCTTGATCCATGAGGCGCTTGTAACCCTCCGTGTTCTTCCCTATGTCGATTTGCTTTTGGCGAGCTCGCAGCTTTGTTTCATCAATTTCGCCAAGTGGAAGGGCCTGCAAGTCTTCAGCAGTCTTGTCTCTGGTCCCAACTTTGCCTCCAGGGATCTACGAAACAGCTTAAGAAACAAAGAAACGTGCTAGTCATCGCGTACCACATCTCTTCCACCAGTCGGCACGTACATCTTATTGGTCACATCATACTTGCAAGGAACTCTAGTTCTTTTGCCGGTGTCATCAACAATCTCTGCAAAGAAAGGGCTGATCCTGGCCTTCTTCCCGTTGTACGGATATTGGGAAGCTCCACCTCTCGGGTGATTCCTCTTCAAACCAGTCATCTGCAAAAAGGGTCAACGGCCTCGTCTTGAAAGCACCTATTCCTCTTGACCTCTCGCTCCGAGGGGGAGGAAGGCGTCCTTGCTTCCGTCTTCTTCTCAGAAGAGGGGCTGACCACTTCAGTGTCGGAAGGTGAAGGTTGTGCGGAATTCAGCACAGAAAGAGCTTGAGAGAGGTGGAGCTGCAGGGCACCCGGGGAGAAGATGAGGAATGATAGTCTATCAAGATCCTCGGTTGCCTCGAGAAACATCCCGGTGAGTTTGCCAGCAAGTTCGGGTTGCATGCGATAGATTTCTTGGTAGCTGAGAAATGTTGTCGTCATTTGTGTGGACAAACGTACAGCAAAATCTTACAGCGCATTTCCCACTCTCGATTTCTTTTCGGTTTCCCCGCAGTTCTTTCATGCAATCAAGTCAGACAGTCATAGAAAAAGACGAACCAAGACGAACCAATACCTTCAGCTCTGATAGAAATTGATTTAGCTTGCGATTTACGACATCACTGTCATCATCCCCTTCGTCACCGGATGATTCAAGCTTCTTTTCATTGCAAACTTTTTCCTGTTTCAGATGTCATTGAAACAATTGTAGAGAACCATGCGCATACTTTGTTGGGCGTTGGCTGTGCAGATGCAGTATCATTGTTCTGCTCGTCTCTGTCAAAGAAAGCTAGTCTTCCGGCAACCTAGCACAACTCAAATCCGAGTTTGACATGTACAAAGTCATTTCACCTCATTGGTAAGGCCCGAGGAGGCACTTTGATCCGGATCAATTGCCACGATGCTGGACATTCTGACTAGTAGGAAGTTAGGGACGTATGTACAACCAAGGCATTTTTCTTGGTTTGAGCGAAGGAAGAGAAGACGATCTGAGGTGGTTGCATGGCAGTAAAGGGGGATAAAGGTACGAGCGGGGAGGATGCAAGTAAAACTACAAGGTAAAGAGTTGGATAAATGGTGAAGACAAGGTGGAATGAGGAGGTGAGGGGATGAGGAGATGAAGGAGAGCTGCAGTAAGGAATGAAAAACAACGACAAAGAAATAGAGCAAATCAAGACCCAACATAGGACCACGCGAAGGGCAGAGGTTAAGTCAGAAGGTGAAGTGTGAAGAGCAGAGTTTCAGAAGACAGGAAAAGTTGCAGGGTTAAGGAAAGAGAGAAGATGAAGCTCGAGCAGCAGAGAGGACAATCAGGGAGGAGCTTACAGGGGACGGCAGGGGAAGGCAGGAGAGCAGGAGAAAGGGGAAGGCAGGAGAAAGCAAGGAAGGGGGAAATCGTATGAGTACGGTACAGTACGGTACTATATTTGATATGGGAGCAGGAAAAGGTTTGTGGGATGATTCACGGGAGTGGAGACGGAGGACAAGAGGGGTGAGACAAATCGAGACATAACACCAATGATGAAAAGAAGAGGAAAAGAGGAGGGGCGGGGGCGGGGGAAGACGGTATGGGAAAGAAAATTGAGGGGAAGGGACGAGAGGGGAAGGGAAGAGATGGGAAAAGAAGGGAAGGAAAGGAAAGAGATGGGATGGGATGGGATGGGATTTGAAGGAAGAGATGGGAAGCGAAGCGAAGCGGAGGGATGGGGTGGGGTGGAATGGGATGGGATGGCATGGTATGGTATGGTATGGGATGGGGTGGGATGGAATGGGATGGGATGGGACGGGAAGAGGATAAGAGAGGACATCAGAGGACCTGATATGAAATAAGGGGGTAGGGAAGAGGCAGGGGAGGCAGGGAAAGAAGACACTGTGGTGGCGGGGAAGGGAGGAGAGGAGTGGCGATGGGACGGGAGGGGCAGAAAGGCGGGAGGTTCAAACTTCCAATTGCAATAGCTAACTGGCATGGTGATGCCCGCTACCACCGCCGGGCCCGGCGCGCCAGCGCCTTTATTATTAATTTTTTTATTTTTCAAGTTTAGTAAACTTTCACTAGTATATGATAGTCCGACGCACCTGAGAGCTAGTACCGTACTCGGACGCCGGGCCGGGGGCGCGTCCGCGGTGATCGGACCGGGTTTACCATATCATATATAGCCACGGTACCGTACCGTGCCGTCACGGTGCCGTGGCCGGCGCCGCCGGAAGTCACCGTGGCCCAACAGTGGCGCGCGGATCGGATCATCCGATGATCGCGGCGGTCCGCGGCCGGGCGGCCGGTGCCACCGACGGTCTCGGCGGACCGTCACTGTCACCGTACGGTACCGTACGGGGGCCGGACTCTCGCTGACTCACTGTAGTGCCGGGGCCGCCCGGCACCGTCACGGTGCCAGTGATGGTCAGTGGCCCATGATGCCAGTAGGCTGCGTGACGGCGATGATACGTTTGATTTACAACAAGCCTAAGTATCATACTCGTACAACTTGCCAAATAAAGTACATAAATCAACTGTGATTCGGAAGTTTCTTTGAAGGAGTTAACGGTAGATCGTGGAAAAAATAATGTCACGCATGAAAGCAGCATGCTCTCTCTGCTCAAAACTTCAGAAAAATCCTCCAACAAGAATGAAAACCTTCTTGTTGAGATTTGCATGTCCTCCATGAACATGTACAGCAGGTTCCCTCCTACGGTTTACAATCAACACGATCCCCCACAGACACCAGTCAAAAACCCGTTAGAGTGTTCCAGCTTTGCTTTCGTAGCATTTGCTAGGACGGGAGGATTCTTGATCTAAACATTTCTCAATGTGGCAATGAAGCAAAAGGATAATTACCTTCAAACTTGGCTTGAGCCCAACTCCTTTGACTTCTTTCATATTCAGGCCTGAGGAACAGAAACCATCAGAATCCCTTGTTTCACCATCTATCAGTTGCTGAAATACCAGGATGATAATTGTCCAAAACTTCACAATGTTTGGACTCCACGAGAAATAAATCATCCATTTCGTTTGAGTCTGAAGACTGTGCAATCATTTTAAGTAACAAGCAGAAATTATCCGTGATTATCCAACCGAGAAGGAAGACCGCTTGCCCGTTTTGACAAGCATCACATTCCGGTCATGTTGACCTGCTGAAGAGCCCACAGAAATCCGAGAGTGGAACGCTGAGGAATCTGGAATAAAATCCCTTGCAACAAAACAGGGGACAGGTCTCACCGGTTTTGCATTTCTCAAGGCACTCATCGTCTGCAAGAGACCTGCAAAACAATTGAACATACACTTCTCATGATTGGGACATACGACCAACCGTGTTTTTCCAGCTGCCTCATTGTAATGGCGAGAACAGTCTGCCAAATCCATCAACCAAAATGGCACAACAAAAATGATTACCTTTGTTCTCATGGCAGAATAATTGTTCCATAATGAAATCAACTACATCAATTACATAATTAAAAAAGAATATCATCCCCGATGTCTTTCAGGAACGGCTTCCAGCACAAAATTTCGCGATCTGTAGAACAAACAACATAGAGGCTGAAATGTGGTGAATCAAGACGCAAAAACAACCGCTAGAGAACATGAAAATGAACAGCATAGAAAAACGGGGCAAACAAACCAAGAAAACAGAGGGCCAGAACATCATTTCCTATCCTCTCTCCCTAGCCCGCCCCTCGTCCCTTTCCATCCGCCCCTTCCCCGTATCAACCGCTATGCTGGCATCTGGTCGCAGCGAACCGCGCTAAATTCTGCCTTGGTGGGGTATAACAAGATACGTCGGGTGGTTTAACTGCAGACAAGGACTGCCATGAGTTGGGTGGTGGTCCTTCCAAAAAAGAATTAAGGGGTGATAAACTGGGGATTTGCAGGGGTGAAGTAAAGCATCTGAAAAGCTTTTAGGGTGGGGTCATCTCCTTGCAGGGGTAGTATTCAATACCACCCAAGAAAGTAGCACCACCCACCCCTTCTCCACTCATTTTTTTTTTTATCTCATGGGTGAGTACCCCACCCTCTGGTTGTACCCCTCTAAAACCCCTATCCTCAACCCCTTCCTGAACTCGTAATCCGGATCGGATACACCTGGTTCCGGCCCGAGCCCGAGTATGGCCCGGACGAACTTTTAACTAAAATGGGCTGAGATTACCAATGATTAACTCAAACTTAGTACCTAATATAGTGGGTAGTTGAGCAGCACACATAAGGACGGGTGGATAATTTTTCGTGACGAGGGAGGTAGGGATTCACCGGGGTATGCGAATGGAATTGGAGGGGTGTGGGGTACAATGATTGGTATCAGATTGAAGGAGGTGGGGTGGACGTGGGTAGGAGTCGTTCAGAAGATTGCGAATGCTGCCGCTCCTCGCTCGCCGTGCATGCACGTCTTCGTCTTCCTCGCTACCGAAGCGCATGGTGCTTATCCACAAGACAGGTATCTTCCTATTGTCTCCAATACATGATGCCTCCACTGAGAATCTCCCCACAACCCCATTGTTTTTCATTTGTGAATTGGTGATTTTTTTATTTCTTCTCTGTATGTTCGAGGTGCGCCCACCCTCTCGCTTCTGTTTACTTGATGCCAATCTTGATGACCATCGTATGTATAAACCCCTCGACTCCGTTCCCCCTCCCGATCGAGCATCTCTCTCATGCTTCTTCCACCTTGTTCATTGCCCTGAACAACATGTAATGTGGCCTTGTCCTATCTTTTCTTTGTTATGTTACTGTTGTCACTGTCCATGAACTCTGAACCCAACTTGATGCAAGATTCAAACTTGTTTCAGGATTGACGGATGCTTGGCGCAAACATCCTATTTGCAGTCGTGAATCGAATCTCAAGAAGATGTTCCCTGGACTGGGAACAGCTGCAGGTACTGTTTTTTGTTGATTTGAACTGTTTTTAAATTGCTATTGGCCAGCATTATTTGCAGTGTACGTCGTTGTTGACCAAAGCATGTCGGCAATGGCGCCAAAGAAGGACAAGCACCATCATTGAGTTATGATTGTTGTTGTTAGTGAAAGCGTGGGTTTCTTTTGTCGTTTTAGTTTTTACGAATGAATGCTCGTGGAGCTCCACAGTCATCTAAATCGGTTACATCGAATCAGTTTGTAGCGGTCCAGGATCAGTCTTAAAAAGCCCGAACAAAAGTTTCCGGACACATGAAGCTGCCTCCTACATGTATGCGATATCTGTGTACCTTATTGCTTCACCGCCGTCAGAAGACCAAGGCGAATTAGTCCCTGCCATGCAAGAAGTTGGAGATGGATGCCGGTCAAGACGTAGGAAGATTCAAGGATGGAGACTCAGCATCGAACGCATGAGAAAAGAAAGGAAGAGCAACCTTATTGAAGCCTCGAATCATAAGAAGAACAGCACGAGCTCCTCGGAGAGTCTCAATTCCTTTCCGCAGCGTCTTGATCAGTCCTTTGAACCCTGTAGAGCATTACGAGGCCATTTTCTTCCATCCGTCCTCATCACTGCGCTACCTTGCCATGAAAGAGCAGATCGCCATACAGCTGGCCAGAACGGACGAACTGCATCCTGAGAAGGAAAACATCAAGGAATGGCGGAGGTTTAGGAGAAGATAAGAGGTATAGAAGGTTGGGGAAGAATGGGTATGAGGAACGTGCAAAGCACCGTCCAGTCATCTGTGCGGATGTCTGTGAAGCTTAATTCTTGTGCGATCATCTTGCTCATGGGTGACCTCGAGGTACAAGCCTTCTCTCTAAACCTTGTAGTCGCTGCATGAGACCCATTCAGGAAGGTAATAATACTTGGAGATCTGGAAAACGAGTCAGCGGATTCATTTCCTTTCTCCATTTTTACCTTGGACAACAAGCGCTTCTCCTTGGCCTGCCCAATATATTCAGACTAGCATCAAGCATTTTCACAATGTCACGTCAAGGTTCTCATTGCTTAAATGTCCACAAGACAGCATCTCGGTGTCGCGATGAGTCCACTGGGACTTGTCAGCAGGAAAGGTATACATTCGTTTACTTACTGTTGCCATCAAAAATCGACCACCCGGCTAAGACAACATCAAGAGTTGTTAATCATCAAGTTGTACGGACCTTAAGGACTCTTTTACATTCCTCGAGCCATTCCTTCTTTCCTGTACCCAACTATTTGTTACCTTTGACGTATTGGATCGTTTCTTCACCAGGCATGTGCTCGCCGGACTCCATCGACCTGCAAATCAGATCAGCTTAGCGCCGGAGGCAAAGTTTTTCCTTACCAGATGAGATCAAAACTTTCGTCTTCAAAAGGAAGTTTAAGAGCATCTGCTACCTTCAGACGTACCGTATCAAAACATCGATTTCAACTTGATATCTCCACCATAAATTGTGTCTGATCAGCCAACCCTGCCAGTCGAGAACGCTCTTTGGCATGTTCACATTGCAGAGGACTGTCATGATTTTGTGAATGGTGTGCATTTTATCGTCAAGCGTTCATAGAAAATAATGGACTTTCACCTCAATGTGATGCCTGTTACTTTGCACCCGTAGCGACGAGCAATGTGTCTCGAGCTTCCCCCCACACCACATCCGACATCGAGAACGTGAGTTGGAGCGGAGACCTGTCCCCAGTCCAACAGTCTGTCCACCATGTCAATTTGTGCTTGCACATCTGATTTCTTTTCGTCTCCTTTTTGTCCATAATGCCCTAAACAAGCATAAGCTGTTCAACTTACTAAAGAATAAACACGACGGTACCCATATGCATGTGTTCCCCCCACACTTCTTCCCACAGGGGCGAGGACTGATCATAGAAGTTTGCAATGCCGTTCTTCAGCTCAGTATCTGAAGCAGCTGCTAAGAAAATTCAGGTCAGGTCTCAGCCTTGCACGTCAAGTTACCCAGGACGATTCGTGAGACTGCAGGGTGTTGGGTCCTTCGGCAAATCCTTGAGGAGAAGATATTCTTCAGATGAGATGCCTAAAAGTAATTTATTCGACATGAACCAAGCCAGCAACACTCAACCTTGTGCGACGAAAATTGAAATGTAACGCATTGTTGGAGCAACGAGCAATAAAACGTCGCCAATAAAAATTTTCTCAACATGATCAGACTCCTATCTAAAAAAAAAACATCATTTGTGTTTTCAATACCGTAATTCAAAGATTAATGTGGAGCTGATACGGGATTTTGTTACAAATGAGAGACAGTTGGATAGCAGTAGAATGAACTCGGAAGAAGAGAGTGTCGACCAAATTCTACTGTCCTCTGCCTCACACAAACTATGTCAGCAAGACATCTGGCAGTAAAGCCCAGGGTTCTCTCCAAGCAAGAAGCAAAGCTACTTGGTCGGATCTTTCAATGGTTATGTTCTATTTTCTTGTAAGCACTTTTTCCTTTCTCATGCAACCCATGAAAATCACCGGATCCTCCCCACCGCATTTGAGGAGCTTATGCGCAGCTTATGGCGAGGATCACCGAACTCTGAGGCGAACCCGAATCACCCACTTGGAGACGAAGTGGGCGAACAGCAGGACGTAAGAGAAGGGGAGGGGGAAGCTTGAATGGGGATGCATCGATTGTTGTGCATCACAGTGCCTAGTCTTCAGCAAGGGTCTCAAAAGTTTCGGGAGGACAGACATTGAAACAGTGTCTCGGAGATCACTGTTGCTGTGCCCAGTTTCTTCTCGACTGGGTATGTATGGCGAGAGTGAGGGACTACAACGCTCATCTAAAGGTTACTCATCCCAGCGTCATCTTCGAGAGTATCAAGGGCTCTTTTATTTCAGTCAATAAAGGGGAGCATTAAATCTTTCTTTTTCTCTTTGACTGATTGGAGCCAGAGAAAAATAGCTACGATTCTGATTGGTAAACTCTGCTTCAGGCGTTCATTTTCCGGGGAGGTATTTTGGCAGCCTACATCCAATGGCAGACGAGGACTTGAGTCTGCTTGTCTCCTTGTGACCGACCAACCGATTCTGGTCTTGATTTGGTTCAGAGCTCAACTAGCTTGCCTCAGCTGCACTGGGATAACGTCAATCTCACCGAAATTCCATGTGTACGAACTTATTGAGAAGGAGGGTTCTTGTTGTAGCCGAAATTTGCTACTGAAAGCGCACTTTCGAACTTTTCCTGCAAGGATGACAAAGCTGTCTTCTTTGGTGAAGATCTACAGTCAGAAGACTACTTGTGGTGGCATAGGAATCAATCTACTTAATAACTGCGATGTCATGCCATTTCTGCATAGGTAGTCTGCCCAGACTACCTAGGCAGAATTGAAGGCAATTACGAGCAGTGAGCCTGCCACAAAGACAGGAGCAAGTGCTTGTTTTCAGACAATCATTGTGTCTGTTCAGAGTGAAATGGATAGAGCCAAGAGTTCCTGTTCCAGGTATGGAGGGTTTATGGCTCACACTCGGGATGGACAAAACGAGGACAAGATCGTTTTCGTCAGGATCTGGCAGACAAGGTCTGCGAAGTCGAGGATGAGATAGAAAGCACGTTGAAATAACAAGTAGATTTCTGACTGAGACTCAGAGTGAGACTCAGGGTTCGGGCATTTCAATGATTTGCTGAATTGACACCTGATTGTAAGTACCCTGACCTTCTGAGAAAAACATAATTCTTGGAATGATTCTGCTGTTTGAGATACGTACATGTCTCCACGACATCAAATGTGTATTTTTGATACATGTCATATGTTGAAGGAAACTTTCAATATCCATACTTAATAATCTGACTTCATTCTTTTTCCAAAAGCGTCTGTCCCCAGGCCCTGAACTCTAAACCTTCAATTCTGTTTCCTCGCCATAACTTGGAATTCTCTTGCATCTAGTCTTCAAAAATGAATTTAAATTATATCATTTCTTCGAGAATGTGTTCGGTGGCATATCGTATTCTAAGATCCTTTCGAACGTGATTTTAAGTCAAAGATGTTGTTTTTTCTTGCATATTTCCGTAGAGGTAAAACATGTCAAGTAGAAATTTGTGTTTGTGCTAATATGCAGTTCAAACCTACTGCTCATTGACAGAGGCATTTTGACGTTGAAAGATTCGTGCCATAGGAGAAGATGAAGTTTGAAGGGGATAGAATATCATGTTGATTCACTCTCCTATCTTGTCGTCATCTAAGCTCCCTGAACATGTCGTAAGGCTTCTTCAAAAAGCTCCTCCAAGCCAGAGTAATGATCCGATGGGAGTGAGTCTTTATTTTTGTTGCCTTGTGATGCAGTTTTCTGTAAGCTGCTGTCAGTTCGATATCTTGTTGTGAAGTGAAAATATTCGCAAATCTCTTACCTGTAAGCAAGAGTCGTTTTCTTCAGAAGAAAACAAAAACAATACCTGGTCAAGAGGGGCACACTCTGCCAGTATGGTACATGACGATTCTTGCTTTATGCCTTGTATCTTCACATCTTTCACCACAGAATCTCTCGAACTTGTTTGAGATTTACAACTTTCTTCGTCATTGAAGATATTCTTGTCAGAGACTCGGCTTTGCGATCGGTACGGCCATCGAACGATCCCTAATTTTCGACAGACATTCTTGAGAGTTGTTGTGGCAATGCCCTGTAGGTCACTCAGAAATCCTTCAATGCGCACTGAATTTCTACAAAGACTGTGAATATCTTACCAACTTTCTTGCTGCCTCAGTCTCTTGCATGCAAAAATAACCGGATATCTTGTCCAAGCTCAATTGAAGAAGTTTTGGTTTGCATCGGAAGGAGCAATTGCGTCGAGCTTTTACCATGACGAAGCCCAGTACAGTCGGCGAGGTGGGAGGCAAAGCCACGGCCCCGACCGCTGGTGAAAACGAAGATGCATTTCCGTCTTGCATGTCGAGCAATTTGAATCAGATACTTTTGTTGAGCCCAGGAAGGGTAACCAGGTTTGAGAGGAGCGGGGGAAGAAATCGTGTTTCTTGCGAGGTGTCAGCGACGATTGCAAAGGCCGAGCGGGGGCAAATTGTTTTGTTTGTCCCTTTGTTTGTCATCCGTCATGCACGTCGGTAACGTGACTTTACAATTTAGAGAAGTTTAGATCTTCATTCTCATTTCAATTTCAAATTTGATAGGGCGTCTCCGTAACGTCTGGTTCGCTCTTTGAGTCACGGCCGCAAGTCATCACAAAGGGCTTGCAGACCTTTTGCAAAATCAATACGGCAACGGTTGGAGATAGAATCCGGACTCACAGGCTCGCACGGTACCAGAAAATGTTTTAGGGAGAATCCAGCAGGTAGCGAAAAAAAAAAGGCTTGCAAGTTGGTACAAATGCTTAGTCAACAATCATGCCGTGTTCTGAGGTGCGAACGGAGTTAGGCCCCGGGAGACTAATAGTGCACTGAGCTGATTTGCCACGGTCGTGAGGGGAGAAGGGTGCGACAGAGAAAGGTAGTCGGGCCGAACTGCCAGGTCACGAGATCCCTGTTAGACTAGAATAGAGCACGGTGATATGATAACAAGCCATGCAACCTACCTAGCATTCTAATAAACTCAACTACTACTACTACTACTACTACTAGGGTTTAGGGTTTAGGGTTTAGGGTTTAGGGTTTAGGGTTTAGGGTTTAGGGTTTAGGAGCGCCGGTTATTTCAGGCACCATGGCTGCACGCGTGGTGTAGGGGAAGCCGCCAGGGCGCCAAGGAAGCTGCAAGCGAGAGGTTTGTATAGTTTATCAGCTTTCTAAGTATGGTTCTTCAGTATGATGAAAATGTTCGCAACCTGCTGTATCGGAGATCATGCCAATACACGCAGGGCGAGCTTGTGGATGCCGCGGTCCTCGAAGCTGATCTTGTCGAGAAAGTGAAGAGCTTCGCGAAACGTTTTCCTAACAGTAGGACAGCTCAGGCTTGCAAGGCTGTGGAGGGATGCACCCCCGACGCTATCGCAGAAGCCATCCGCTCGACATGTCAGCAGGCACGACGTGAGCTTCTACAAGAAGCGATGACTGGATGGAGTGACGCATCCAGAGAGTGGTTTATGCAGCAGATTGAAGAAGCCAAGAAGGAGAAGGTCGAGACATACACCGCCTCAGCAGGCAACGAGGTGACTTCCTTCATCTCCATGACTCTCCTGGGCATCTCCTCGGTGTATGTCAACCATGAAGAGAAGCTGAAGAAGAAATTCGATGAGATCGGACTGATTCAACGGTAGACTAAGTGCAAGAGAGTAAAGCGATCATGTGGAAGGCTCCGTATAGATCCGAGATAGCGAGTGCTGATGAGATCCCGGTGACTGTTTCCTTCCTCCGCAATGCACAAGCGGAGAAGCTCTGGCAGGGAAGAGAGGACTTCGCGATCGATGGTCGCAAGTTCACAGCTGTACATGTGAGCATCGGGCACGATCGATCTTTCAAGATTCGAGCCAAGAGCCTGAGGACCCTGGGGCAAAGGGGGCAGCTTGGCAGAGCTGACTCACCTGCTATCCTTGGGCGGCATGACAACAGCAGAAATAGCTGATGTCTACCGCTATCAGCTGCTGCGCCAGTCCCTTGCAGCTGTCCAACTCCAGCCGCTGGCAGGCATGCTGGTCGCTTGGGAGTCCACAAAGGCTTAGGTCAGAAAGGCTTCGTCGCTGTAGGGGCCAACGTCATCTGGAGACAGAGGGAGGGGCGGGGGCCGTGGAGTGGATCGTCTCCTCGAGCTGCCCAGAGGCGAATGATACAGCATTTCGAGCTTTCCGAGAGAGCGAAGCGATGGAGGGAGTACACCTGACTCTGTTCAGCGAGGACCCGAAGATCAGAGAGGCGCTCGCAGTCGAGTTGACAGCCGATCGCTTTGTCTCTAGGAACAAGTTGAAGAAGGCATCAAGACTGCAGAAGAAGGCAGGCGGCAGCGACGACAAGGAGATCAAGATCATCATCAAGTCGACGGCGGCATCTGGTCGCTTCACGAGGAAGGAGATGGAGGGGCTGTGCAACGGCGGCAACACGTCTATCGCAAGAGTCAAGAGAGTCTTGTTGGAGATCGCTAACAGGCTCGAGATCAAAGTTGAAGGCATCGACATGGAGGAGGATTTGAACACCAAGTCCTGGAACCGGGTCCAAGCTATGCATCCTTCTCGGGTCCACGGAGGATGCTCGACGCATGATGAAGGAGCTGCCCTTCTGTCTCGAAGGCGCAGCAACCAAGCTCGAAGCAGGGTTTAGGGTTTAGGGTTTAGGGTTTAGATTTTCGGCAGCATGGCTCCTCGTCAGGTGTAGGGGAAGCCGCCAGGGCGCCAAGGAAGCTGCAAGCAAGAGGTTTGTATACTTCAAATAGCTTTCTAAGTATGGTTCTTCAGTATGATGAAAATGTTCGCAACCTGCTGTATCGGAGATCATGCCAATACACGCAGAGCGGACTTGTGGATGCCTCTGTCCTCGAAGCTGATCTCGTCGAGAGAGTGAAGAGCTTCGCGAAGCGTTATCCGAACAGCAGGACAGCCCAGGCTTGCAAGGCTGTGGAGGGATGCACCCCCGACGCTATCGCAGAAGCCATCCGCTCGACATGTCAGCAGGCACGACGTGAGCTTCTGCAAGAAGCGATGACTGGATGGAGTGACGCATCCAGAGAGTGGTTTATGCAGCAGATTGAAGAAGCCAAGAAGGAGAAGGTCGAGACATACACCGCCTCAGCAGGCAACGAGGTGACTCCCTTCATCTCCATGACTCTCCTGGGCATCTCCTCGGTGTATGTCAACCATGAAGAAAAGCTGAAGAAGAAATTCGAAGAGATCGGACTGATCGTAGACTCAGTGCAAGAGAGTAAAGCAATCATGTGGAAGGCTCCGTATAGACCCGAGATAGCGAGTGCTGATGAGATCCCGGTGACTGTTTCCTTCCTCCGCAATGCACAAGCGGAGAAGCTCTGGCAGGGAAGAGAGGACTTCGCGATCGATGGTCGCAAGTTCACAGCTGTACATGTGAGCATCGTGCACGATCGATCTTTCAAGATTCGAGCCAAGAGAGGACCCTGGGGCAAAGGGGGCAGCTTGGCAGAGCTGACTCACCTGCTAACCTTGGGCGGCATGACAACGGCTGAGATAGCTGCCGTCTATCGCTATCAGCTGCTGCGCCAGTCCCTTGCAGCGGTCCAACTCCAGCCGCTGGCAGGCATGCTGGTCGCTGGGGCGCCAGGCCAGCAAGTCCACAAAGGCTTAGGTCAGAAAGGCTTCATCGCTGTAGGGGCCAACGTCATCTGGAGACAGAGGGAGGTGGAGTGGATCGTCTCCTCGAGCTGCCCAGAGGCGAATGATACAGCATTTCGAGCTTTCCGAGAGAGCGAAGCGATGGAGGGAGTACACCTGACTCTGTTCAGCGAGGACCCGAAGATCAGAGAGGCGCTCGCAGTCGAGTTGACAGCCGATCGCTTTGTGTCCAGAAATAAGTTGAAGAAGGCATCAAGGATGCAGAAGAAGGCAGGCGGCAAGGACGGCAAGGAGATCAAGATCATCATCAAGTCGACGGCGGCATCTGGTCGCTTCACGAGGAAGGAGATGGAGGGGCTGTGCAACGGCGGCAACACGTCCATCGCAAGAGTCAAGAGAGTCTTGTTGGAGATCGCTAACAGGCTCGAGATCAACGTTGAAGGCATCGACATGGAGGAGGATTTGAACACGAAGTCTTGGAACGGGTCCAAGCTATGCATCCTCCTCGGCTCCACGGAGGATGCTCGACGCATGATGAAGGAGCTGCCCTTCTATCTCGAAGGCGCAGCAACCAAGCTCGAAGCAGTCGGCTTCGACAAGGAGCCTGAGGCGGCTGGTCAGCGGGGCACCAGCGACGCAGCGCAGCGACAGGAGGAGAGCGAGGGAGAGTGGCTGGAGTTTACAGACCTGGAGAGGATCACAATGGAGGCAGCATCTCCGTCAAGCCAAGAGGACATGCAGCTCGTCAGCGAGCTGTCAGCAGTCATCGAAGATGCAGCTTCTTTGAACGAGGCAGGGACGAGCGAGCCGATCAAGCTGGTCCTGGACAAGGCCGTTGGCAACCTCCACGACACGTTCTACTCTCCGGGGAGCCTGGAGTTCATGTCGCTGGGAGAGTGGGCGAAGATGCCAGAGGAGCAGGGAGTTGGGCGCAACGTTCTCAAGGAGAAGCTGGGGAAGTGGCTGCAGAGCAAGCGCTGGACTCGCGTGCAAGGAGAGAGCAAGAAGGCAAGGAGGGGCAGCGCGTTCTCGCCACGGGCAACGGCAGCTGCTGAGCTTGAGCAGGAGGCGGAGAGCGACGACATAGAGCGTCGATCTCTTAGCCTCCTGTTCATAGCACTGAGTAAATTCGCAGAGATGCATGTGCTGGCCTGCTCGCTGAAGGTGGACAAGAAGGACCGACTGCGAGTGGAGATGAGGGAAGATGACGAAGAAGAGGAAGACATGGAGGAAGAGCAAGGCGAGGGCGAGGAAGAAGACGGGGCGAGCCCGTACCGAGCTTGAGCTGAGCCCAAGGTAAGGAGAGAAGGTAGGAGGCGACCGAAGGCCAAGGTGAGGAGAGGCAACTCTCCTGACTGAGGCTGAGGAAGCTGAATGGAGGAGGAGTAGGGGGCGACCGAAGGCCAAGGTGAGGAGAGGCAACTCTCCTGACTGAGGCTGAGGAAGCTGAATGGAGGTAGAGTAGGTGGCGACCGAAGGCCAAGGTGAGGAGAGGCAACTCTCCTGACTGAGGCTGAGGAAGCCAAGAGAAGACAGCAGAAGTAGAGAGTAGAAAGACGCCTCAGAAGCAGGGTTCGCATTGTAGGCCGTGTACTCCCAGTGCTCGAGCGCCTCTTTAGACTAGGATCAAATTGCAAAAGCCCACAACGAGGCCGAGCAACATTCTAATAAACTCACATAATAATAATAATAATAATAGGGTTTAGGGTTTAGGGTTTAGGGTTTAGGGTTTAGGGTTTAGGGTTTAGGGTTTAGGGTTTAGGGTTTAGGGTTTAGGAGCGCCGGTTATTTCAGGCACCATGGCTGCACGCGTGGTGTAGGGGAAGCTGCCAGGGCGCCAAGGAAGCTGCAAGCGAGAGGTTTGTATACTTCAAATAGCTTTCTAAGTATGGTTCTTCAGTATGATGAAAATGTTCGCAACCTGCTGTATCGGAGATCATGCCAATACACGCAGAGCGGACTTGTGGATGCCTCTGTCCTCGAAGCTGATCTTGTCGAGAGGGTGAAGAGCTTCGCGAAGCGTTATCCGAACAGCAGGACAGCCCAGGCTTGCAAGGCTGTGGAGGGATGCACCCCCGACGCTATCGCAGAAGCCATCCGCTCGACATGTCAGCAGGCACGACGTGAGCTTCTGCAAGAAGCGATGACTGGATGGAGTGACGCATCCAGAGAGTGGTTTATGCAGCAGATTGAAGAAGCCAAGAAGGAGAAGGTCGAGACATACACCGCCTCAGCAGGCAACGAGGTGACTTCCTTCATCTCCATGACTCTCCTGGGCATCTCCTCGGTGTATGTCAACCATGAAGAGAAGCTGAAGAAGAAATTTGAAGAGATCGGACTGATCGTAGACTCAGTGCAAGAGAGTAAAGCAATCATGTGGAAGGCTCCGTATAGACCCGAGATAGCGAGTGCTGAGGAGATCCCGGTGACTGTTTCCTTCCTCCGCAATGCACAAGCGGAGAAGCTCTGGCAGGGAAGAGAGGACTTCGCGATCGATGGTCGCAAGTTCACAGCTGTACATGTGAGCATCGTGCACGATAGATCTTTCAAGATTCGAGCCAAGAGAGGACCCTGGGGCAAAGGGGGCAGCTTGGCAGAGCTGACTCACCTGCTAACCTTGGGCGGCATGACAACGGCTGAGATAGCTGCCGTCTATCGCTATCAGCTGCTGCGCCAGTCCCTTGCAGCGGTCCAACTCCAGCCGCTGGCAGGCATGCTGGTCGCTGGGGCGCCAGGACAGCAAGTCCACAAAGGCTTAGGTCAGAAAGGCTTCATCGCTGTAGGGGCCAACGTCATCTGGAGACAGAGGGAGGTGGAGTGGATCGTCTCCTCGAGCTGCCCAGAGGCGAATGATACAGCATTTCGAGCTTTCCGAGAGAGCGAAGCGATGGAGGGAGTACACCTGACTCTGTTCAGCGAGGACCCGAAGATCAGAGAGGCGCTCGCAGTCGAGTTGACAGCTGATCGCTTTGTGTCCAGAAATAAGTTGAAGAAGGCATCAAGGATGCAGAAGAAGGCAGGCGGCAAGGACGGCAAGGAGATCAAGATCATCATCAAGTCGACGGCGGCATCTGGTCGCTTCACGAGGAAGGAGATGGAGGGGCTGTGCAACGGCGGCAACACGTCTATCGCAAGAGTCAAGAGAGTCTTGTTGGAGATCGCTAACAGGCTCGAGATCAACGTTGAAGGCATCGACATGGAGGAGGATTTGAACACCAAGTCCTGGAACGGGTCCAAGCTAGGCATCCTCCTCGGCTCCACGGAGGATGCTCGACGCATGATGAAGGAGCTGCCCTTCTATCTCGAAGGCGCAGCAACCAAGCTCGAAGCA